TTTTCGTAATTTCTTCCCACTGTGATTACTGGATATCCTTTTTGGTTTGCCAGGAATCCATAATTTTTTCAACTGTTAGATCTTTTGGCAAAGTGCCTTCTACTTTTGCTACTTGTGTTTGCAGACCATCGTAAAGATTTTTCGGGTTTGCATGGGAGTGATTTCTGAAAAAAGGCAGCAAATTTAAAGATATGATTAATGCATACCTGTAGAATTATTGGCACAACATTTAAAAAAAAGTTTTTCATTGCCACTGAAGTTCTTGCATTAATAATGAAAAAACTTAGTAATATTCAATACTAACTTATTATTAAGATATGTGTTCAATCCTTTGCTGAATACTGCATCTGTGAGTGCATGTTGCATCATTCTGATTACGGTTCCAGCTGGAAATTTTATTATTTAAGATCAGATATATTTACCAAAGATCAATGTGCTTCAACCAATATAAAAACATTCTACAAATTTACCTTTATCATAAGCAATTCCATCAAAAACGGATTTGATTTGTTGAGGACTTTGTACGCCATAATTCATTGGACGAGTGGTTTCCAAACTGTCTGCCGCAAAAATAGATTGCAATGTGTCAACCACATATTGCTCCATAAGACGCCATTCTTTTCCACCTGAAAATAGTAATACCATAGAAAAAATTCATACTGGATAGATCTCTACTAATTTATAAAAATAGTTTACTTTATCTGCTGCAAAATATTCGAAAATGTGGCAAATCCTTCATTTAACCAAATGTATTCCCACCATTCAGGTGACACCAAATTTCCAAACCATTGGTGACCGAATTCGTGAGCAATAACGCAAGCTACTGCCTTTTTATCAGACATGGTCGAATGTCCTTCCTTGTACAGCAATCGCGTTTCCCTATTAAAAAAATTTGATAATTCCAAATTTTCTAAAGATATATTCATTTGCTAAATGGCTCAGATTTTTACCTATAAGTTACCAAACCCCAGTTCTCCATGGCACCTGCAGCAAAATCAGGGATTCCAATCTGCTTCATCACTGGAATTTCGAATTTGATGCCAAGATATGTTTCAAGACTTTGTAAAATTTCTTTTCCTTTAGTTCTTGCATATTCGGCTGTTTCCAAATCATCTTTTTCAGCATAAACTTCAAAATCTGGTCCATTACTTTTGTGTTCGTATTTCGAAATTACAAATGCCAGCAAGTAAGTTGACATTAGTGGTGTATCGTCAAATTCCGTACTTATAAGGGTGTCGTTATAATCTCTGTAGAGAAATGGACAAAATATAATAAGAAATCAAGTTGGTCCTAGATGTCAATATTGACATCATATGTTATTTTAAAATAATTTTATTATTATAGAAAAATAATGTGCTACTTACACTTTATCTGCTTGCCTTTATTGGCATATTAGATATAGCAGAATATTTTTTGTCATTTATTAAAGTAAGTCGGAAAACTGCTTTAAGATGAGGTTCGTCGAAACAGGGAAAAGCCATTCTTGCTGAAGTTGATTCGAATTGCGTTGATGCCAACCACCTAAAATTAATTTAAGACTGTGTTAATATAGATCTATATTGGTACAAAATGATTTGAACTAATCTCAATATATATTTGTTTATCTTCCATTTTTTTCGAAATCTGTAAAACTTTGGAAAACTTTTGAGATTAACTGTTTTAAGTTTTAGAGATCTTAGGGCTCATAGAGATTGAGAGATAGAAACTGCAGTTTCTATCCAAAAGTTTGTAATTTGGTAATCTAAAACTAAGATGTATAGATTAGCAAATTGAATAAAAAAAAATCAAATCAAAACAAGAAGGAATCCTAAAATTTTAAATATTTGTCTCGATTGCTGACGAAGGTATAAAAATAGACTTAACAGATTTATTGAAAAAAAATTGTAATATATAACTGATAGACAACGACAAAAAGTTGTCTATCTTATTTGTTCCTTCATTTTTATTTTGTGAATAGATTATACTTACTCAATTGTTTCGCCCTTTTTGTAGAAACTTCTATAAAAACCATCCATGTTTCTGTCCAAGTCACCTTCAAACTCGATGAATAGGAAGTATTTTAAATCTTTTTTTAAATCTTTGTCGAAAAAGATGGTGTACTGTTCAAGCTCTTTATTATACTCAGGTTTCAAATGATTTACATCATTTGCACTACTATCATGGACTTTAATTGAATCATCTTTTATTCTTAATCTTCTGTGATGTAATGTTATATTTTGGTGTTTTCCAAAGGCGTCAAATGTATGACAACTGACCCATTGAAGTTGAATTCTGGATCTAATCTAGTTTCGAGTGTAACATCGTATTGTAGAGGTTTTATATTTTTTGGTAATCGATAATATTTTGTATCGACAACTGGTGGGCTAACATCTTTTCTTGGAGTGGTTGGACCAGCTAAAACGCAGGTCGCCAAAAAAATTAACGACAAAATTATTCCTGGGGCTTGCATTCTGTGGAAAATATTATATTTAAATATTTAAAAAATTCAGAAAAATCATTTATTATTATTTGTAATTATTTTCCAAAAGCGTTACCGCTATACATACGTCTTATAATTTTGACGTAATATTTGATAAAAAATATCTTGCACAACGGCTTTATGCGTAAAATTATAGATTGGTAATAAATTAATGATAAGATAAAAAAGATTGCTCCAAATCAATATCGTACGTGTGAATCTTTGTCTTGTCATGATTTACACAATATTGGATTTATTCAGAATGATTTTTATTGGATGACGAAGTTGTAAAAATATAAGATACAAATGATACGATCAAAATTTTTAAAATAATCGTGAAATACGAAACAACATAAGATTGAAATCCTTTAACGACAAAATGAAAAGTAGAAATTATAATTTGGGAGTAGAAAGTCATATATGAATAACATAATGCAATATTAACTTGACTAAATTTTTGTCCGATTTTTTCATAATTTTAATTTTTTGCTATTACAGTTTATGGCGACTTAAAAATTGTTAATTTTTTTTAAATAATTGCAATTAAATTCAAACATACATTAGAAAAATGAAATAATTTTAATAAAAACGGTCATGAAGGGCAAAAAGAAGAGATTATTATATTTTATTATTAGGAAAAGCGTATATAAAAACGACATATAAATGAAAAGTTAGTATAGAGATTGAGGTTAAAACTAACAGAAAAATTAAAAACATACATACACTTTAAAAAATGTTGAACTAATCATATGCAAAAATCGTAAGCTAACATTACATGAAATGCTTCTAGAAATCACATTTATTACACTAAATACTTTCATAAACTTTGGAATATTTTATTGGAAGGTTTATTGCATCAAATAAATAATTTAAAATTAATTCGCAATTGTCGAGTCAAAGTAATATTTAATTATATAAAAATTCTTACCTTAACCCACGAAAGTTAACACACTAATGAAGAATTCTATAATAAATCGAATACTTCCAACCGTTAACCTGCCTTATCAATGGCCATGGATGAAAAACGACAAAGCTCTGTGATAAAAGATAAAAATATTAATATTATTTATCGTTTGCAATTAGTTTTTATTTGCAGAAGTCCAGTTGTTTTATATTTGGATTAATAATTGAACAATTTTACCATTTCCAGAATCGAAAAGAATAATAAAGCCTTGTATTGTTTACATATTTTTAGATAAAGAATTATGAAAAAGCTCAATATAAGAACTATTTCTTAATAATATGAATATTTATAAAGGTAATACATAAGAAAAAAAAAATGAAAATTTTCATGAAATTATCAAAATTTCATCTTTTTAGTTTTATTTTGCTTCACTTAATATAGCTGTTTTCTGTGCTTATTTCAAAGACACATGTTGCTACAATTACATAAAGATTGCTAAATGAATGTTAAATTTAATTTTACTAGAAACGTTTTATTTTAAAATTTCTTTATTATTAATTAGTAAAATAAGAAAGCTAAATTCAAAGATAGTAAAAGTTATTTCTAATTTGTTAACAATTTTGTGTAAAATGTAGAGTCATGTGTATTTGATCGCGTGTACAAAATCTGTTCCAAAAATCTCTGAAAATTTGAATTTTATCATTGTTACATGTAAAACAATCAGATTTACCGACATTTTTGGAATTTGAGTTTCGAAATAACGATAAATTTTATTGATAGGAATCGAGCTCGTGCTCGATTGGGCATATCAATATTAAGATAAAATTATGTATATATATATATATATATATATATATATATATATATATATATAATTATAAAAGTCATTCTGATTAAAAAATTGATCACGATTTGCTGAAAATATGACATATTTATTAAACATTTTTTGTTCTGTATCTTGAACTGCAGACTTGTTTTTGTTTATATGTGAAGCAATGCATGATAAAAGGATTTACTATTTATGGCGATTATTTAATGATTAATATTAAAAAAATGTTGATCTTAATTTTTTGGAGCATGTTATCTCAGACGTAATTAATTACAAAATATTGTGATATCTTCATTGTTTTCATCCACATATTTTATTTTATTTTTTACAACACTTAAATATCATCGCAGATACTTTGTATTAGGGGGAAGTCCCCTAGTGGCGGACACCTAAGGTTATTTATAAATAAATCAAAAATATTTAACGAAATATTTATCAAATTATGATTTATGTTAGATAACAAAGTTAGAAATCAAACTAAATTAACAAAACCGCAATCTTTGCTAAAAAATAATTAATACTATCAATCAAACTTTGGTATCAAAAAAGATGATTTTAAACAGTGGCATCAAGTACCGGACATTTCAAAATAACCTGCATTGATCACATATGTAGACATCTCCACACTCTGGAATGCCTGCACATGTATCTTTGACGAATATTTTTAGATATTGCAAAAAAAGCCACTATTCATCCACCCTTTTGGCTTAGCCACACCGATGCTCTCAGTTGGCAATATTGAATAAATACAAAATTCTATGACATGGGTTATTTATAAAGGTTTGATAAATAAAACAAAGTTAGTACATAAGAATTCCTTGCAAAATAATTTTTACTTAATAAGTAATTTTACAATTACTTAATAAGTAATCTTCAACTTGATTAACGTCTTAAGATACTTCTGACAATTATAGCATATTGTTTATATATCTGCTGTGAGCAATTCCTAAATTTCATATAATCAGATTTTTACTTCGATTTACAAATAGTGCCAATAAAGGTATGTTGAAGAATCTAATTAACTTCCCGTATATTTTATAGAGTTTTCCTCAATGTGTACACATTTTGTACAATTTTTTTTTTTTGGCTTCCGTACCAAGATTTTCAATTACGGTACGGGAAGTTCCAGCAATTTGCCTTAAGGCGCGATGCCATGCACCCCACTAGTTTTCTAGAATTTTATTATATAAAGTAAAGGTAACTATTTTTCCTGCAATGTACATATCGAGATGGGATTATCATGTCTTGAATTTAACCTGAACATCGATCTTCAGTATCGATTTAGTCATTCGGGCGGCTATAATTCGCATCCGTTTCCAAGCCAGAAGCTACATGTCCATATTCCATCTCTTGCCTCTGGATAGAGTCGATATTTACTCTCCATATGTACATATCTATCGAAATGGAGTACTTTGTGAGGTAATAATTTACGTGGTTTACTTAGATTGATGTAA